GATACCAAGTTCCGGCAAGATCATTCTAAAATCAAAATAGTAATGAAGGACTGTCTTGATTCCTTTTGGAATAAATTGCATTTTAAAAAAAATGAACTTAAAGAGGTTTTTGTAATGGGCATTCAAATTACAGGTATGTGTAAAAATGCATCTTATTTATTTGGTGCAATTTAAGTTTTTTCAGCTAAAATTTTTCTTATTTGGTATAGGCACAAGGTGGACGATCTATTCCCTTGTATACGATAATTCAAAAAAATTTTATTGTTTTACTGAGATGGCGACATTGACATTGCCAACAATTTTATCTGAGATGGAAGACCTTTTGCCAGATTTCCTGGAAAATCTTCTAGCATTACGGGTATATATACATGATATATTTTCCTTTCCAACCATTCCACCAATGTTCACATTATTTTGATATTTATTATTTAGCATACACAGATAGAACTGGTTGCAAAGATTCGAAAATTTTCTCAAAAAAGACTCTCTACTCCATCTCCACCCTCATCACCATTGCACGAAACTACAGTCTCTCCTTTGAAAAAACAAAAACTAAAGAAAGATCCTTTTCGTATCTTAGACAACTTATACTAAATAAGTCACTTGACAGTTCATTGTCATATATAATTTCAATGCGCATATTTTTTCATATCTAATAATATTTATTGTAAATTTTAATCTTGTGGATGGTTAAATAATCAATATTAAGCTTAACGTGTACATATATTATTATCTACATAAACAACAGAAGCGTATAAACTTTACTCAATAAGGACCAATTCTCAAAGTATCTTAAAATGATCACAATTTTTTCTTAGTGCTTGCTGTATTGGTGAAATAATTATATATGCGTTACAATTTGTAACATCGATCACTTTTGAAGAAAAAAATTTTTTTTTCAATTATAATTTTCACCCATGCAAAGGAGCAATATTTCTTTAATAAATTTTTTTTTGACGCCACTCTGTATGTTTAATATATAAATTAATCGATTGATCTAAATATGTCAATAATTGTGATTTTGAACTTACTTGGAGGGATTAGAAGCATTTTGAAGAGAAAAATTGAGCCTTATATTTTCAAAATAAATGATATTTAGACACTGGAAATTCATCTATATGAATTAGAAAATTAATAAGCATCAACACAAAAACCGTGAGGAACCTACATAAAAATAAAAGAAAATTGGAAGAAAAATAATTTACTAAATTTAGGTTAAATTATCAATTTGAAGACTATCTTTTAAATAGATGTGATAAAAAAAGAATTATGTGAATGGTTTTGGTTCTTTTATTCTTTTTTAGAAAACATGTTGATTAAATATAATTTACATCTCAACTGTTCCAAATTTTTAGCAACTAGTATTTATTTATTCGATATGTTGGTATATCTTACATTCAGTCATGAGGTGGAGTTGGCGGAGTAATGTAATATGGAAGTATTTTACGATGTTTACTTTTATCACTTGTTTAAATTGACAATGAAATAAAACGTTTTTGAACCTCGGTCTCGTGACCAGAAAATATCACTAACACGTTGTGTGACAAGCCTTTGATGATCCGAGGTAAAGGTTCCAATACAAGACCATCAGTTTTTGGTCATTTTGAACGGTCCGAAACGTCGGAGCAAGACGAAGACCTAACAGTAGACAGCGGTCGACACCATGCAAAAAACATCTAAAGCGAAGCATGATTTCCTTTCAGTCAAATATCTGTTTCGCTCAACCCTAACGTTTTGAACCAAAACAGATAACAATTGGGATTCACACGGTACTGTGACGTAAAATAACCATAGCCGTTTATCATTTTTTTGGAAAACGAAAATATTTCAAAATTTCAAATCAATTTGCAAACGACTCATCCCCAAAAATTCAGTTTACTAAAATTGAGAAACAGGACGTTTAGAATATTCGTGCTGATTCGTATCGTAACTGAACTGAACTGAATATTCTTTACAAATGAATTATTTCCTGTGCAACCAGACATTTCAAAATTGGGTAAAGTCGTTAGATTAGGGAAACATATATACAAAAAACAAGAAAATCATTATCATCATCCGCCACAAATATCGCTTTAACATAATCTGGCTCTTCATCTGATAAAACCAAACATTAATTATTAGTGCTATTATTATAACTATTTTCAATTATTGCTTACATAAAAATTTAGTATACATAAATTAATATATGCACTTACTACTTGAATACTTCTTTCTTTTTCCTTTTCCTTTTCCTTTTTCGTTTTTTTACAACATCACTTTTAATATTTGATAATGATGGTGGTGATGGCGACACTTCTGGACATCTATCTAGCTGTTATTTTTTTAGAGATCTCATGTTTGCCAGTTTCTATATCTTTTAAGTTTTGTAAGATCTGACCCACCAATAATTTCTTTTTCGCTTTAAATAATCTGCATCATCTTCATCTATACTTCCTTCTCGCTCACACCAAGAAATTCAATATCAGTAGAAGACAGGCCCAATCGATATTTATGTCCGATCTAATAAATAAATAAATGACAAATATTAATATGTAATCTTTAAAGAAAAAGACTAGAATAAGAAAGATTAATCACATGGATGATAATATTTTTGATCCACTTTGAACTTTCTTTTTCTTATCTCATCCAAAACGTCAGTTTTTCCTGTCTATCAAATCTAAATATAAGTTTCTCCTCTTCAATCAAATCAGTCATAGGTTCAAATGACCCTCCCCCACGCATGAACAGATTAATATAATTTTTGTTTAATATGTTGATGGTATCTGACGAAAATAAGGACCCTTTCTTGATTTGATATTTCTTGTGTATACTTTTTTATTTTCACGCTTCTCCTTTCGTTTTTGTATTTTTTTGTGATTCCTTTTCTTTGGATTTGGCTTGTCGTCTATTTTGTTGTAATTTATGTTATTTGTCTCTGATATTTTATAAACACTCCCGATCTGTCTAGATTTTATTTTTAATTAATATTAGTTATCATAATTATTGTTACAATTAAATTACAGGTTAAATGATATATATCATTCATTACCTTCTTCTTCGTTAAATAAATGTTCTAATAATCATAATATTATAAATAACATTTTCCTCCAAAATAATAAATTAATCTACCTTTATTATTACGTATTTTTAAAAAAATTTAATATTATAATAATTTTATTAGGATATTTCAATATTATTAATTAACAAAAAGATTTACCATTTAATTTAAATGGGTAATAAATAAATGATCAAAATCATCCATCATTAATAATAATTATTATTGGTTGAATTATTTCTTGTAAAAAAGGTTGTTTACCAAAGGAAAAAAAACATGAATATTAAGGAGATTGTGTTGATAAAGAAGATTTTGAAGAAGATAAAATAGGTATATTGTGAAATATAAATAATTAGAAATGATCTTTTTAAATTTCCTATAAAATTTGATATTGATAATATATATGAAATTTGAACAATAAATTAAATTTAGATAACTATTAAAATATGATGACTGAAAATGATAAGGAACGATATGATTAAATAATGAATAGTAAATTTACGAAAAGTCAAATCAAACATTAAATCAAGGAATAAATGAACACTAAAAATAAAATAAAGATATTTTTACCTCTTGACATAAATTTTAATATCGATGTTTAGGTGTTTATTCAAACCATTTACTCATCCATATCTTGTTATAATAAATATCATACAAAAATAAATTATATATTATTAAAAAATTTTACCAAAAAAAAATATACTAACCAACGTCTTTATCATCATATAATCCTTGTAGTGCGAGCATAAAGAACGTTTTAAAAAGGGTAAACAAAAAAACTTTGAATATATTGCGAGATAACCACACCCTTTTGGGTCAATTACCTGCAAAATTCAATACTTTGGACTT